TCTGCTGAAGGGCACCTAGGTTGGTTCCACCGTTTGCTATCGTGAATTGTGCTGCTATAAACATTGATGTGGCTGTGTCCCTGTAGTAGGCTGTTTTTAAGTCCTTTCAGTACAAACTGAGGAGTGGGATAGCTGGGTCAAATGGGGGTTCCATTCCAACTTGAAACCACCTTTGAATCCCGTCTGAGGCCTGCTTTTCACCCGACATCTTCTGATGAACAGAAGTTTACTTAGGATCCAGTTGTCCCATGTTTTCTTCTGGACACTGGCTCCTTTGCCCTCACGGGGGGCAGTTCACTCTTGATCCACAGTGGACACAGCCAGGGAGAGGCAGCTGGGTCCTGCAGGCGGGTGAGGGTGGTGGTCTGCCTTGGGGTCATCAGCCTGGGGTCTGCAAAGTGTTTCACACGGAAACTGCAGAATCAGAAACTGCTTTTTTTCGCTGCATGAAATTCAGATGTTATAACTAAGCAAAATGATCTTAAAATGCCTTCCGCCACTCGGAGGTAACTTTTGCCAGCATTTTCCTATGCGGGATCTTCTGGCACCTTCTCTGGGCACCGGGTGCCCTCCTCTCTGTCAGCTCGTCCACAGGCCTCTCTGTAGGACAGGAAGTGGGCCTCTGTGCACACTGGACCTAAACGTTTGAAAGCTGAACTGTTACTTGTTTATCTGGCCTCATAGCACACTTGCAAACTCCAATGTGGGTCATTCCCAGAGCGGGGACAGAGAGACAGTGTCCCCTGTCCTTCTGACCTCCCCATCCCTGAGCAGACCAACCTGGAACTTGTCTTCTAATTGAATTTGAATCTTTTCCCTGAAAACCTTTGCAACTGCCTTGACCTCCGAGTGTGAAAGGTCCTTTTGTCATCACGGCAGCCCTCTGTCCCTCAGAGAGCCCTGCCAGCCTCCTCAGGGGTGGAGAGGCAGCCTCAGTCAGGACAGTGACCGGTGACCCTAGCCGGGCCCTGGGATAGCGACATTTCTAGTGCCCCGCAGGCCAGTGATTAAAGATGACATCAGGGCAGGGTTGGTGCTTGGGAGCTCCACGTCCCTCAGTCTGGACCACAAATGGTCTGCGCCTGTCACTGAGGCTTTGTCCCTGGGAGCCGTCATTAAGCAGAACCTTCTTTAAGCCCAGGGCTTCTGCTTTACCCCCGTCATGGTGTTCCCTGCATTTAAGGCAGAGGAACAAGAGGTCAAAATGAACCGTCCCCGATGACCTGAGAGGTCACGCCCAGCTGCTGGCCGAGGGGTAATTAGTGGTCAAGTGAAATGCGCCTGGCGGGCGGGACAGCCCGCCACGTCTGCCCTGTCGGGATGGAGGTCAGACCCCTTCCTGCCCTTGCTACTTGCTGTCCTGAGCCTGGTGGGGGGTGTGGGGGGCTGTTCCCTGGGGTGGCCTTCTGCTCCAGGGCTGCACCTGCCTGTCCTACCAGCAGAGCGGCACCCTCTCTAGACGTCAGCTCCACTGCCCCTCAGGGGCTCTGTGTTTTGGTCCCAGCTGGGACACATGGCAACTGTAACTGCAAAGGTGGCAGAGAAAGCCAGCATCCGGCTTAGAAAGGGATGTCCCTGAGCCCCTCTGTCTACACCGTGGCTCCAGATCCACATTCTTCTCGCTTCCCTGAGGGCTTCCTTGTTCAAATTAAATGAAAGAAAGAAAGAATCAGGGAAAAAAAAAAAACAAAAACCAGCACAGACTTTTACCATGGCGACGTGACCCTTGGGTAAGACCTTGCTTTTCAATTTTTCACTTTTTTTTTTCCTTTTTTTGGTCCTGGGGTCTGAACCCAGGGGCCCTAGAGCACTGAGCCCCACCCCCAGCCCTATTCTGTATTTTATTTAGAGACTCCCTGAGCTGTGGCTGAGGCTGGCCTTGAACTCAGGATCCTCCTGCCTCAGCCTCCTGAGCTGCAGGGGTGACAGGTGTGGGCCACGGCGCCCAGCAGCGTTTTGCGTTTCAGTAGTTAAATAGACGTATTTTAAAAGGAACCTTCCCAAACAATCTCCATTATAAACAGAAAACCAATGTCATTGCCTTAAATAGAAAATAACAGTAAAAATTAAACACAAAGAAAAGAAAATGACAGTTTTCATCCTCAGCTGCAGCAGCCGTGGCCTAACCGGGGCTCGCTCTGTGCTAAACTGGAGATGAGCAGATAATGGAGATGTGCATCAAACCCCAGCGGCACCAGGCAGAGCTGTCTGGGGGACTTCCCAGGAAACAGGGAGAATCAGAAAGGAAGCAGCTTCCTTTGAATGGTGTCATTTAAGACTCTTGCACTGTCATCTGAGACCATCTAGTGCCCCAAGTGGTCCCCTCCAGCTTCTGCAGAACTCGTGCAGCCTGCCCCCCCTTTCCCCACCCAGCAGCGGACCTCCAGTGTGTCCTATGTTCTGGGAAGCCGTCTGTGCCCAGGGGGGGGGCTTCAGTGGGCGTGTCAGCCTTGCAAAGGTGCAGCCCGGGCTCAGCGTGGACACGAGGCTTTCTGATCAGGTCATCCGAGAGCTGGAAGTCACTTTGGTTTGGGAAATCTGCACAGGCTTCTGGGAAGAGGTGTCATTTAAATTAAACTCTCTTGAATGTCCTTTTGTCCTTCTTCCTAGACCCATTTGAGAATCTGGGGTGAGACCTGGCCTTCAGTATAGACCAGGTTAGTTTTCTGGGGGGACCTTGAACACCTTGCCCAAGGAATGGACAGTGGGAGCCACTGATGGTTTCAGAGCTGGGGAATGCCCTGCTCCACCCTGCTAGGACCGGGGCATTGTGCACAGGCAGCTCTTGGACCAGCATCCGCTAATTCCTTCAGAAATGTTCTTGGACTTGTTACTTTTTGTGAAAGGCAACATGGACTTCTCAGGCTCCCTAAAGACAGTGCATCTCGCTCATGTCTTTTTCTGAGTCTGGCGTTAGGCTGTGCCTTGTTCACTGGAGCTCAGGGGCTGTTTCCTCTGCTCTGAACCCCGATTCTGGGGCTGGGCCCCATCTTCCAAAGCCAGGCCAGCCACCGCCTCTGGGCAGCTGTTGGAACTGTCCTTGGAAACCTAGTCAGGTGTGTGGTGATCTAGCCATCAAGCAGAGCCAGAAGACTCCGGGTGAGGGGCAAGGCCACCAGGAACTCTGCACATTTTACAGGGCCTGTCCCAGGGCAGAAGTGAAGAGCCCTGACGGCGCACTTGGCTCGAGTCAGCAGGGGAAGTTCCCTTGGGTGGGATTCTGCATGTCCCCGGAGCTCTGGAAAAGGCGTGCACCCTGTGACCAGCCAGCCTGCGGCTAGGCAGGATGTATCTTGGGAAAATCATCGCACGAGGCTTTGCTTGCAGTGTTGGTTTCAATGGTCAGTGATTGGAGGGTGGGCCATTAGTTGACATCCAGGGGCGAGGGATGAGTGACCTAAGGGTGAGGCGCTTTAATAGAGCAATACCACAAAAGTGCTGGTATCCGAAGTAGAGGGTGCATAGCTAGCTCTCCAGATGAGAGACGCCATGAAATGAAACCACAATTTAAAAAATGTCTAGCCAGGTGCAGTGGCCCACGCCTGTCATCCCAGCAGCTCAGGAGGCTGAGGCAGGAGGATCTCGAGTTCAAAGCCAGCCTCAGCAACAGTGAGGCCCTAAGCAACTCAGTGAGACCCTGTCTCTAAACACAAAATAGGGCTGGGGGTGGGGCTCAGTGGCCGAGGGCCCCTAAGTTCAATCCCTGGTACCTCCCCCCCCCAAAAAAAATATCTAAATAGTGTGCAAGATTTGATTTCATTCCAGTTTTAAGTGAAATTCTCCACGTAGGGAATGAAAGCCCCATGATGACTGGCTGCTTGTCACAGAGCTGACCGTGGCTGCTGGCGCTGACAGCAGGGTTTGGGACCATTAGAAACATTTGCTCTTCTGTGGTTTTGAATCTTTCTGCAGTTCTCATGTGGAGCACGGAGGAGGGTGGGGCGCTGCCAGAGGACAAACTGAAGACAGGGGCTGGACGAGGCCCAGGATTGATTGGCATCCCTCCAGGTCTGGGGTGCAGGCCTGCCTCAGCAAGAAGCTGGGTGGGGAGCGTGCTTGGCAACACAGCACCTGTTTGGGAAGCCCCTTATTTCTGTTTTGCATATGAGGACCCCCTAGCCTGCTGAGATTCTCTACTGTAATGAAATCTTGGAGACTTGTGGGGACTCTTCCTAAGTGTCAATAGGTTTTTTGGTACCAGGGATTGAACTCAGGGGCTCTCAACCACATCCCCAGCCTTATTTTGTATTTTATTTACAGACAGGGTTCTCCCTGAGTTGTTTAGGGCCTCCATAAATTGCTGAGGCTGGCCTTGAACTCGCGATCCTCCCACCTCAGCCTCCCAAGCATGGGATGACAGGCGTGGGCCAACCACTCCCAGCTCAATAGAGTTTTTTCAGCTTACTTTGGTTACGTTTCCGGTCTCTTAAAACGTTTGCTTAACTTTTCCACCTTCTGCAAGTCCCAATTCCTGTGGCTTCTTTAGTGTTGAGCTGATGCGCTCTCAGCTCTCCACTTTTTTGTGTGCAGACATTCTTTTTAGGTGTATTAAGCAAACAAAAACAATTCAAAAAAGAAGTGAAGAAGAAAAACGAGGAGGCCCCCAGGTCCTTGGAGAGCCAGGCTTTCAGGGTCTCCGCTTTCCACAGTGTAGAGCAGGGCCACAGACTTTCTTTGTATAGTAAATAGCGCAGACCACCTGGGCCCTATGGACTCTGTGACAGCAACTTAACCCTGTCACTAACACAGAGCCCCGCACTGAATGGCCCTTGGAAGGGGCCACAACCATAGTCATCAATGGGTGTGGCTGTTGCCAATAAAACTTTATTGACCAAACAGCCGGTGGGTTGGGTTCTTCCTGGGGCTGTAGCTTCCCGAAGGATCTAGAGGAAAAACAGGGGGAAGAAGCAGCTTGATTAATGGCTCTGGCCAGTGGTCCCCCTGTCCCAAAATAGCACAAATTGTAGGAAGGAACAGGCCGGAGAATTGAAAAGGCGGATGTTAGGCGGAGGGGAAAGCTGTCCTGACCTTCCCCTGCAGGTCAGCGGTGGCCCCTGGCTGCGGGGTCTGGGCGGCAGCTGGGATCCCGCTCTGAGGCTCCCAAAGGCAGATGGGCCCCTTCGAGGCTCCGAGAAGTTTCTGGAAGAGCTGGCTTGCCATCGCAGAACCCAAACCCTGTCCCGACCGCAGAACTCCCTTTGGGTGTGTCCCCCTCCCCCTGCAGGAGTGTCCAGGGGCCTGGGAGGGGCCCTCCAGCTGGGTGCCAGGTGGACTGGACTGTGGCGCAGGCGACGCCCGAAGGCCCAGCCGTGCCGAGGCGGCTGTCACAGGACAGGGACGCGCCCTGGGAGGTGCTCACTGCGCCTGTCCAGCAGCGCGACGGTCCTCTGCAGCCCCCCAGCCCTGCGCTGAGCAGCGACGGCTTTTCAGGAGGCTCGGGGGCTCGGAATCCAGGAAGTCCTGGTGCCCGGGGAGGGGCCCGCGGCCGGGAGCCTCGGTGGCGCCAGGTCCCAGTGCACGCTCCTCTCAGCGACAGGCAGGTCAGTGTCCCCTCTCGCCCGCGCAGCCTCTCATATCTGAGGCCCAGAGGGAGGCAGGGCTGGCTTTGCTCGTGCAGGGAAGTGCCCGGCGCGGCCCGAGCGCTGGGTCTGCAGGTCTGGCCTCGGAAGAGGGAGGCGCTGCGACCTCAGGAGCGGATCCATCCGCAGCGACAGAAGCCGGATCAGTGGCTGCCAGGGCTGGTGGGGGCGAGGGCTCGGCCTCCCACTGACGTGGGAGATGCCTTCCCAATTGGAAGCTGGAGGGCCGTGGTAGTTGTGCAGCTCAGAGGGGCAGTGCTCAGGGCTCTCCGACTTAACGATGTCTCCCCTTTACGATGGCGATGGCGCGGGAGCTGCGCCAGGGCATCGGTAGAATCTGCGTTCGGAATTCTGGGTGTTTGCTCCTCACCTGGGCCTCAGGTGTGCTGTGTGATGTTCCTTCTGAGCGCGAAGTGGCTCCTGGGCCAAAGCATCACAAGGGGGAACAGCACGTGCACTCCGGAGTGCCCAGTGTATTCAGCCCAGAACCGAGGCGCACGCCTCTCCTCCCAGCGGCTTGAGAGGCTGAGGCAGGAGGATTGCCCATTGAAGGCCAGCCTCAGCGATTTAGCAAGCCTCTTATCTCCGAATTAAAAAAAAAAAAAGACTGGGGATGAAGCTCAGTGATGGAGCACCCCTGGGGTCGATTCCCAGTACAATCTGTCAATCAATCAAATCCAAATAAAAAGAAATCTTTGTGCTAGATGGCTTTGCCCCATTGTGTGCTCTCCTAAGTGACCTGAGTGCGTTTAAGGTGGGTCAGCCTAGGTTGTCCGGTAGGTTAGTGGTATTAAGTGCATTTTGGACAACAGTATTTTCAACTTAAGGATGGATTCACTGGGACATGTCACCATAAGCCCAGGAACATCCACACTGTGAGTTTAGTGACCACCGCGGCATTGTGAGACCTGGAGGTTCTTGAGAATGAATGGGTAGGACCAGATGAACAGGGGTGTGTGGGCACCCTGGCCAATGCCACCCTGTGCAGACTCTCCTCCTCCTTCAGCCTCCTGTGTCACTGGGAAGACAGGCGTGCACCACTGAGCCCGGCTAGTATTTGTTCTTTTGTGATCCATGTGTCTCACATTATGTCCTTGTGGTTTGTCCATGTTGGAGCAGCTGTCAGAATTTCTTTCTTTTTTAGAGCTGTATAATATTCCACTGTGTGAGTATTCCCCATTTGGCTCATCTGTCTGTTTGAGGTGGACAGTTGGGTTGTGTCCACCTGCAGGCTGTTGTGATGATGCTTGAACATCGGTTTACAAACACCTGTTCAAATGCCTGTGTCCACTTCTTTTGGATATGTGCCTAGGGGTGGCATTTCTAGATCCTATGAGTGTTTTGGGGGGATTCCCATACTGTTTCCACGGCGACTCTGCCATTTTACACCCCCACAGCAATATATAAGGTCCCAGTTTCTCCACATCCCGGTCTGCATTTCTTCTCCTTTCTCTTTTCACAATAGCCACCCCACGGGTGTGACATGCCCTTTACCTGTGAATGTCATAAAAAGCAGTGATTCTAGTGACGCTCAAGTGGACTTTGGAAACCTGACCGGGAAGGAGGGTGGGGACCAGAGTGCCAGCCGCCTGCAAGCAGGCACGCCCTCCTCCGTCTCTTCTCCTCACCTGTGAAACGGGGGTCACAGCAGGACCGGCCACCGGGGCTGTTGAAGGGCCAGGGTGGAGTAATTCCTGGGAGACACCCAGCAGAGTGCTGGCACCGTCTGGGCCCCGAGATCACAGCTGTTTTGACTCTAAGCACGTTGTTTTCATTCTGGTTTCATGTGTTTTGTTTGTGGGTTTTGAGATGGCGTCCCACTGTGCTGCCTGGGCTGGCCTCTATCCTCTATCTTCGATCCTCCTGCCTTAGCCTCCTGAATGGCTGGGACCACAGGTGTGGGCCATGGCGCTGGGCCGCACCTCAGCATTTTGATTGCCCCCCCCCAGTGTGACTGTGACATTTGCCTCTCCTGGAGAATGGGCGCTGTTCCTGTGGTTCTCACCCATCTTTGCTGACCCCAAACCAAGGACTTGCAGGGTGAGGGCTTCGCGGGGCCCTGATGGTGCCCAGGCTGGCTGGGGCTGGGGTGGACTGGTCTGCCTGCGGCCCTGGAGACGTTTCAGGAGGGTTGTGAGTCAAAATTACTTCCAGTAGGTGTCCTCAGGGGGACAGGGGACCACAGTGCCCTGCAGGTAAGGTACCTTTTCTTTCTGGTGACTTCCTAGGATGACTTTCTAGTGACAGGGTCACAGAGTTGAAAGTAGACAGGGTTTAGAGGGATGAGGTGCACGGGGAGCCTCCCCACTCCTGTGATGGGGGCTGGTGGTCTCTCCGGGCCAGTGCTCATGTGGGAATGGCACCTGGATTTTTTTAGTACCAAGAATTGAACCCAGGGCCCTCGACCCCTGAGCCCCATCCCAGCTCTATTCTGTATTTATTTAGAGACAGGGTCTCACTGAGCTGCTTAGGGCCTCGCCATTGCTGAGGCTGGCTTTGAACTCGCGATCCTCCTGCGTCAGCCTCCCAAGCCACTGGGATGACAGGTCAGGAGAGGCTTCCTGGAGGGGGCATGGAGGAGGAGGGGATCATGGGTACACAGAGATGAGTAGGCAGCTAGAGGAAAAGGGTGCTTCCTGCTGCCTGCCTGGGCATCACTTCAAAGTGGGAGAGTGTGTGTGAGAGACAGAGGGGGGCAGCCTCCATTGTAGGTGAGGCTGGTGGGAGATAGAGGGTCAGATCCGGGGCCTTGGGGAGGACTCAGGTCTCCACCCAGGGGCAGTGGGAGACGGGTGGGCTTTGAGCTGGGGGTGACGTCCCAACCCTTGCATGTTAGGGGAGGCCCAGCTAAGGGAACCAAGGGCTATACTGAGGCTGACTCCAGAAGTTCCTTCTCCGTGACGCCCTCCCCGGCCACCAAGGCGTCCCCTTCGCATAGTCACCAACATTCTTCACACTGTGATCAAGTGTTTTGTTCACTGCTGTCTCTGTGTTCAGGGCTTTCTGCGTGTGGGGTTCACTGCTGCATCCCCAGCACCTGGCACAGAGTAGGTGCTCATTCACAGGGCATTGGAATGGATGAATGAATGGTTGGATGGATGGATGGAGAGATGAGCTAGGGCTGCAGCCACGGGGAGAGGGGCAGGGGACGCGTGCGCTCCAGTGACATCTGACATTTCGGCTGGGCCCTGTGCATCTGGGGCCCGTGGGTGGACAGATCTAGGGTGTTCCGCGCCCAGCTCCTCCTGGAGGACGCCAGCTGCACTCTGCCAGTCTGCTCCTGGCCTGTTGCACGGTGCGCGTCACGGGACGGGTCTGCAGATTCAGGGGCCAAGGTCATGTTCCGGGAGACGCTGAAAGGTGTCAGGACCGGCCCACGCCCCGCACCAGATGGTGGCCTTCCCGGGAAGCAGCCGCAGCCAGAGAGCTGCTGAGCTCCCAGAGCGGCTGGCGCGTGTGACTGCGGAGAAGCGTCCACAGCCGCGGGAATGAGTCAGGGCCTCCGAATCCGAATCCCGGGTAAGAGCTGTTTGGTTCTGAATGGGAGCGTCCCTCTCACCTGTCCCCAGGGGACTGAGACCCGTGGCTGCTCCTGGCACTGGGACATAGAGCCCAACGCCTCGGGAGGCAGCCTGTGCCCCGAGTGTCAGGGATGAGGGTTTGGGATGGTCCCCTGTGGTTCCTGCACCTGTTGCTCAGTGACTCCCTCCGCAGACAGCTTGTCACGGGAAGGGGGGGTGTCTCAAGCTTTGCAAATGAACCCAGGGACATCAAACCTGAGGATTCTTCAGGTGGACCCTCAGCAGAGAAATGCCCACTGCTGTGGTCTCAGCGGGGGTCAGGCTGAGGTCCTCTCTGTCCTGGTCGCCCACAGCCTGCTGACCCCCGGGGGGATGCTTTGCTGTCTGTCTGCCCCACACTGACCTCTGTGACAGTGAGTGTGCATGATCAGTGTGTAACGTGCACACCACACACACTCAACCAGGTCTGGCTCAGGCGGGTTCCCCCTTGGAGCTCTTGGTCACCTGACTTTGTCTGCAGCTTCACTAAGGCATTTGGAAGGAGCCAGCGAGGCCACCCAGGAATAAATAGCAGCCGGCTTGGGTGCGAGTGGGCTTCCAGAACGTCTTGGAAGAGACGAGCGTCTTTGAAATCAGGCTAACATATGCGATGCATTTAAAGTAAGGTCTGAAGACACAGCCTTAAACGAGCGCCTCGCGTTTTATGACAGGTTGAGGGAAAACCTGAGCTCTCTGGGTCTCAGGGGTCGCCAGGACTTCCGACTGTTATTCCGTGGTCTGCGGTGGTTTGCGGTCCTGCTCTCCTCGGATTGATTCATTGGTTCCTCGATCGTGTAGCTTCCTTTGCAGACCAGGGCGTCCCCCAGGGCTTAGCTGAAGCGCGGGTCCTGCCCTAGGAAGTGTGCCTGCCGAGCTGAGAGGAGTCCTGCTCAGCCTCTGAAGGTCTGTGGTGACCTTGAACCTGTACCACAGGCTGGCTCCAGGTTGGAGGTAGACAGAGAAGTCTGAGCTGTGGCTGGAGCCTATAGCCATGTGTGGGGAAGAAGGGTCCCCAGGTAATAGGCACAGCATGTGCAAAGGCCCTGAGGAAGCATGTGAGGACCTCTGAGGGGTGACCCGTTCAGCCGCAGGTCAAGCCACAGCTGTGTGATAATAAACAAGCTGGGTGACCTCTCTGGGCCCTTTCCTTTCAAATGCAGAATGCAAATGCAGAACAGAAGGAAGAGCTCCCAATTGAAGTTGGGGGTATTGTCTGGGACCACCATTCCAGATCTAGGCAGCTCATTCTCTTCCTCCTTTGTTTCCTCATGAGCTGTTATAAAGGAGGACATTATGACCCTAGTGTTGCAATTGCATGTGTGTGTGTGTGTGTGTTACATAAGGCTGTGAGTTCCATGGTTGCAGGGTAGTTCTTCTTACACTTAGTAGGTGCTCAGTAAACACGGGGGATTCTTATTGTCTCCTGCGCACACATGGATATATAAGGCTAACAAACTGAAAACCGGGAAGGAGTGTGTTCTAGACGCTGGAGGAGATGCCAGCGGATGCAGTTGGAACCCAAAAGCTTTTGCGCCGTCTGTGCACATATTGCCAGAGCTCCGGAACCGAGGCTGTCCCCTGTGCCTCAGACCTGCTGAAACTCAGCTGCAGGGACCAGCCTCCGTCCCCCGCGGGCTCCTGCCATGGGCGCGCACAGCTGGCCCGGTGCCCCCTGAGCAGGGACTCCGGGGCTTCCCTGGACTCACGCGTCCCCAGCCAGGGCCACCAGCTCCGGTAAGTGGGTGCATGCGCCACCCGCACGTGGGGCTGCGGTCCGGGAGGTGCAGACGCGGGTGCTGGGAGACTTTCTCTCCGTCCCTGGAATCCTGTCGCTGTCCTGTGTCTCCTGCCTGGGCTGCGTGTGTCCCACACAGGGTTCCAGCGGCCCGAGGCTGGCTGCGGGGGCAGAGGCAGGGACGGAGCTCAGAGCCCCCCTGGGGTCCTGTCAGGGGGCCGCCCGGTTCTCAGATCCTGCGGGTCTGCCCCTCTGTTCTGCCTGTGACCGCGTCGGGGTGATGTTCTGGGTGGGAGATGGGCTCTGCTGGCCCCTGAGGGGTAAGGAGGAGAGAACCCCAAACCCGGCTGCGTCCCTCCCGTGTCCCTCCCGAGGCTGCGAGTGAGTCAGCCGGAGCCGCGCAGCCAGGAGGGAGGGAGGGAGGGAGGCCGGAGGCTGCAGAGGAACCAAAATACCTCCCAGGTTTTGCGCATCTAGCTGGGGGCGGGTGGGCAGTTTTTCCAGGGAAAGACAACACGAGCCCAGAGCAGGTGGGGACTGGGAACAGTGAGGGCTCCCACATTTTAAGAGCAGAAAGGAATCAGAAAAATCTTGTTTTAAAGGCAGGGCTGGATGTGACCCGTTCAGCCGCAGGTCAAGCCACAGCTGTGTGATAACAAACAAGCTGGGTGACCTCTCTGGGCCCTTTCCTTTCATCTGCAGAAGAAAGACAATGACAATTCTTGCCTTTCTGAGTTGTTTGAAGCTTAAGGCAGGAGGAGGCGTGGTCTCCATCTGGGTGAACCAGGGCCTTGCCCTCTGCAGGTGAACCCGATCTGTGGACGCACTTTACAGGGTTGTGAGGGTGAGAGTTATAGAACACATGGAGCTCTAGGTTCCACAGTCTGTGTCACTCATGGTCGGCTGTCACGGTCAGTTTTACTCTTACTAAGAATAGGAAGGGGGCTGGGGTCGTGGCTCAGCAGGAGAGCACTCTTCTTGTGCATGTGAAGCCCTGGGTTCGATCCTCAGCACCACATAGAAATAAATAAATAAAACAAAGGTATTGTGTCCAACTACAACCGAAAAATAAATATTAAAAAAAAAGAATATGAAGGGGATTGGGGTGGGGCACGTGGCACACACCTGTCATCCCAGTGGCTTGGGAGGCTGAGGCAGGAGGATCCCAAGTTCAAGGCCAGCCTCAGCAACTTAGCAAGACCCTGTCTCCATTTAAAAAAAAAATTAAGAAGGCTGGGATTTTTCAGTGGATAAAAGAAAGGAAAAAAACAAAAAGAGGAAGGGATATAAAATAGGTGTTCAACAAAAAGGGCCCAACAGCAGATGAGTGAAAGCAGGCTGAGTGGGAACAGTGGCTTTGACTTTTAGTGCCCAGGGGAAGGCAAGAGGCTGGGGTGGTGACTATGGCATGGGTTCCAGGCCACTCCCCAGCTTTGTGATTCTGGGAACCCCTGGTTCTTGTAGCTGTGTGAGCTGGGGCCAGTCACCCTCTCTGTGCTTGGTGCTCAGCACAGGGCTGTGATGCAGATCCTCCAGGGTGCCTGACAGACCCTGGGATGGGAAACAGCCAGCGCCACAGGAGCAGGGGGGGAGGGGACCACACGCCCATTGGGCCTCGGGCTGGAACGTGTGCACGGGTTCAAATCCCGACTTGACCTCTGGCTTCCTGAGCGTCCTCTGGCCTGTTTCTGAGCCTCTCTGGGCTGGCTTCCTTATCTGTCGGGCAGAGGTCCTGGCCTCTAAGACCTGGCTGGAGACCTGGTGAGTCGGGAAAGACCCAGAGGATGCTGGCCCCTTGTCCAGCCCGTGAGGGGCTGTGCAGGCCACTCCCTTCCCAGAGCTCAGAGGTAGGGCCCCCAGGCTGCCTGGGGAGGTCAGGGTCTGGGGCTCAGGTCTGGGGTCCCCCTGCTGGCACCCAGACACTGTTTGCTAAATTGACATTTTTATTTTTTTTTTAAAGCAGTCGCTTCTCCGTTTCCGATGCTCTTGATCCTCCTGGAGCCACAGCCGTAACCATGGTGACGCGGGTCGAGGTTGGCTCCATACCGTCCTTGACAGCAGTGCCAGGCCTCGGGGACATGGGCAAGGAGGAGGCCCTGAAGAGGACTTACTTCTGCCCCACGGGGGACACCTCTGGGACGCCCTCGGCCCGGATCTTGGAGGGCAAGAGCCCCCTGCGGAGCCCGGGCCGCCTCTTCCCTGTGCCCAGACTCGCCCCGCGGCCCTTCTCCAAGGACCAGGCCCCCGACATGAAGGCCCCCAGCTCGGCCCTGTGGCCTGGGCCCGCCCAGCCGGGTCCCGCGGGGCCTTGTGACCTGGACAGGAGGATGCCCAGCCTGGGGGGGCAGGGGGTGGACAGTGGAGTGGCCTCGGGGACAGGCCCGTCCCCACTCGGCAAGGCTGCCTGCCCACGGCCCAGCCCTGGCACCGCGCTTCTCTTTGAAGCCACCAGAACTGGTCCCACCCTGGGGAAGGGGCTCAGCGAGGGCACTGTGGCCGTGACCCCCGAGTCTCCTTCCAGCTCCCGGCCTGAGGTGGCCGCCAAGCCTGCCCGGAAGCCCCCAGGGGCCTTTCCCCGGCCGGCGTCACTGCCACAGGACACGCGACCAGCCATCCCCCAAGAGGAGGCCACCCATGACCAGCCGGTCCCAGAGGGCGGCGAGGAAGACCCCACGGGCCCCCCAGCAGAATCCAGGCCTCGCCCCAAGAGAAGGCCCGTCTCGGCCATGTTCATGGAGCCCGGTCAGCCCCCGAAGCCGGGCCCAGGCGCAGGGGCCACTTCGGGGAAGGTGGCCCCGGCCCCGCCCGAGAAGACCTGGGTGAGGAAGCCCCGGCCAATGTCCATGGACCTCACGGCTCCGTTTGAGAGCAAGGAGGCCCTGCTGAGGAAGGGGACCCGTGAGGGGCCGCAGGGGACAGACAGGGCCAACCCGGAGCCCCGGGTGGACGGGGGGTGGCCTGCCAGAGCCGAGGGTCCCCATGGGGACCCAGACACAAACTTCCTGGAGGTGGCCAAGAAGATCCGTGAACGGAAGGAGAAGAGGCTTCTCAGGCAGGAAGAGACGGGCAGCCCCAGGAGCCCAGGGGACCCGGCCAGGGCGGGCACCGGACATGACCCGCGTCCCCAGCAGGAGAAAGCCAGCCAGGGCCAGGAGCCAGAGAAGACGCCCCCGTGCCCGCTGCCCAGGTCAGCGAGGGGCCCGGAGCTCGCTGAGGTCAACAGCAGAGGGGGCGACAGGGAGGCCGCAGCGGGGACAGCGGGGCCCTCCAGGGGCTGCGTCAAGAAGCGCCTGAGCCTGTTCGGGGAGGAGAGTGGCCCGGGCCCCGCAGCAGCACGCGAGTCCCCACCGGCCACCCCTCAGTCCCCACCCACAGTGCCACCACCCCAGAAGGGGGGCGTGAGTGTCCAGGAGCGGATCAAAGGCTGGACCGCGGAGGGCTCCAGGGGGAGGCCTGAGCTCAGGAGGAGGACGCTCCCGTCGTCGCGGCCGCTGTCGGCAGATCTGACCAGACTGTAAGTGGCCACTCGCCCCCCCCTCATCCACGCCCCTGGGGGACAGGGTTCAAGGGCCTGGGCTCCTCCTGGCCAGCTTATCTGCGGCCCTGAGAGCAGGTGGGAGTCGCTGCCCTCCTCGGACCCTCCACTTCCCCCACAGTGGGACAGATTGTTCCCCGCTTCCCAATTTGGCATTGCCCGGTGTTGTCACCGCCAGGCCTTCCTCCCCAAGGTCAACGACCGTTGAGATTAGGCCCCAGCCTCCGTGAGCGGGCCCCCAGATCAAACCAGAGGAGCCAGGGTGACTTGTGAGCCTCATTGTCCTTCCCTGGACACTCGCCGCGGGGAGAGCCCCCTGTCCCCCACCCCCACCCCCACCCCGTGCAGCCCAGAGCGGGGCCTCCTGCCACCGGGTGTCCTGGCTCAGCTGCTGGCTAGGCCCCTGGTCAGTGAGGGCTCTGAGCCCTGCCCACCGCCCAGGCACCCTGCTTCACTGGGGAGTGGCCACAGCAGGGAGCTGCCACCCTGCTCGTCAGTGTCACCCATGCTACTGACACGCTTAGCCCAGGGAGGAGCCTCAGGGCTGGCCTCCAGGTGGACTGCCCTCTCACCTGGGAACCAAGCCGCCAGCCTGGCCCCGCACACACTAGAATCACCCCACGAAGGTGACCCCTGCTTGGGCTGCACCCCAGTGCTTCTAGTCACTGGGCCTGGGAAGGGGGGCTCATGTTTGGGTCTTTTTTCTTTTCTTTCTGTACCTGGGATTGAACTCGGGGCCCTCGACCATTGAGCCCCAGCCCCAGCCCTATTTTGCATGTTATTTAGAGACAGGGTCTCCCTGAGCTGCTTAGGGCCTCGCTGTGGCCGAGGCTGGCTTTGAACTGAGATCCTCCTGCCTCAGCCTCCTGAGCCCCTGGGATGCCAGGCGTGACTGCGCCCAGCTGGGTCATTTTTAGAAGCTTCCCAGGGTTCTCAGGCTCAGGCAGGCCTCAGGGCCCTGGGTTACGAGGACAGAGAAGAGGGCACCTGTGCCAGGGCCTCCCCAGCTTCCGCTCACCGTGCCCTGGGACTGCCCCAGGGGGCCGGGTGGTCATCTGACCAAAGGGGACACTGAGGCAGGACCCATCACAGCCCCACCTCCCGGGAAGCAGACCCCTCCCCTGCTGAGTTGGGGTCAAGTTCCAAGTGGGTGGTCTTCCCCCGCCGTTTTCCACACAGCACCCCCCAACCGGCCCTGAACTGAGCAAGTGCCACATCTTCATGTGGCATCCATAGAGGACACATCAGAGAGGGAAGGACCCGCCCTCCTCCCTCTCTCCCTTCTTAAGTGGGGAATCCTGAGGCACGCAGGGACCTCGGTTAGACTCTGGCCACCCAGAGGGCCCCACGCGTCTGTGAGGGCCACTGCCCGAGCCTCGTGGCAGGGTTAAGGTGGGGGCCGGGTCGGGGCTGCCGAGCAGGACCATCAGCCACCCCTCCCGGGCGTCCCCTCTCCCCAGACGCCTCCGCATAGCTATAAGGGCCATGGGTGGCCTCTTATCTGCCCTATAAAAGAAGACAGAGGTGCTCATTATCCCCACTTTATAGACAGGAAACAGGCTCAGGTGAGGTCCCAGGCCTGAGCTGGGACAGCACTGGGTGTCTGCACCCGGCCTGGGCGCCTTCCACCCCATGCTCTGCCTGCGTAGGCCCTGCCCCCGCCCCCTCCTTTGGCGACCCTCAGGAGGTGTCCTGTGGCTTGGCCCTGGAGGCCTGTGATCTCACCGCCTCCTGAGCTGGAAGCAGAGTGGGCTACTGGGGGCCCGGGAGTCCCGGCTGCTGGCTCCATGCGAGTGACTCGGGTCTCTGTGCCAGGTTTTCAAGTTCAGCCTCCAGTAGCGACATCAGGTGTGAGAAGACCGCTGTGCCCAGCCCCGCGCATCCTGAGGAGCCCACGGCCGCGGTGAGTGGTGGGTGGCTGGGCTTTGGGCACGACGCTGGTGGGTCTCCATCCCCAGGTGTCAGGCGGGGCTCTGAGAGTGACCGGCAGGTGGTGTTTATTTTTCTCCCCCTGTGCTAGGAGGAAGAGGGGCCTGCGTTTCCTGTATGAATCCTGCCTTAGGGAAACCCCAAACTTAGGTTTAAATGTCATTAAAAGTCCCTGAAGCTGGGCGTGTATCACGCACCTGTCATCCCAGTGGCTAGGGAGGCTGAGGCAGGAGGATCGCGAGTTCAAAGCAGCCTCAGCCATAAGCACCTCAGACCCTGTCTCCAAATAAAACAGGAGAAGGGCTAGGGTGGGGCTCATTGGTCAAGTGCCCCTGGGATCAGTCCCTGGTGCCAAGAAAAAGAAAAGTCCCTCAGGTTACCCAGTCACGACTCTCCCTCCGTCGTCACCTTGACTTGTCACCCAGCAGAAGAAAGAAGGAAGCCGGCAGCAATCTCACTGCCTACAAGTGTCTCTGTGTCATCCTTCAGTGAGAACAGGCTCCAAGGTCAGCCCTCGGCATGACTGCGTGCGCCCCGTGCTCTGTGAGGTCCTGATGCTTAGAGCTGCTCTGTTGAGGGACACGTGACGGACAGGGGAGTCCACAGCTCTGCACACCGGGGCGGCCCACAGGGCAGATGACCGACACCCGAGCCCCCGGGCTGCCCCACTGCCCTGGCCCCGCAGCCCCGAGCCGCCCTCTGCCCCCACCCCGGGCCCTCGCCTTGTCTAGACTCTGAGATGGAGTCATTACTTCCAGACTGTGGTGTCACCTGCTGTCCTCCCTTGTGACCGCTGGGTTTCACTCCGTGGTCCGGGCAGCTGCCGTGAGTGTCCTCCGATTGCTTCCAGTCGGGGCCCTTGGGGCGAAGCTGTGGCAACCTTTGGGGCCAAGGCTGTGCCGGGCCTGGTGGTTTCCCCTTGGGTGAATACCTAGGAGTGGGTGCGTCCATCACAGACAGGCGCATGCTTCCTGTTTTTGAGAAATTTCTGTTTTAAAAATACACCAGTGCTTCCCTCAGGGCCCTTTGTATCCCTCTCATTTGGGCAGACGGTGGCCACCACTGTTGGGGTCCGTCAGGGGCCCAGGGCCTCATCCCTGGATCTGAACCACCTCTTTTAAGGATGGTTGAAAGAGGGTCCCAGTCACACAAACACGGTTAACATGTTGAAATAGATTCATTCCTAGCAGGAAAAAAAAAATCAGAAAATGACTGACACATGCATATCCTAAAAATCAAACAGGACCCAAATGCGTAAGATTGAAGGCGCTCCCTCACTCAGCCCTCCTCCACACACACCTGCTTCTCGGGGTCAGGGGGATTTATGTTTTCTTCTTCTTCTTCTTCTTCTTCTTTTTTTGGTACTGGGGCTTGAACTCAGGGGCACTCAACCACTGAGCCATGTCCCCAGCCCTATTTTTGTATTTTATTTAGAGACAGGGCCTCACTGAGTTGCTTAGAGCCTCACTAAGTTCCTGAGGCTGGCTTTGAACTCACGATCCTCCTGCCTTCGACTCTCGAGCTGCTACCACCTCCGGCAATTTGTCTTTTCTTCATACACATGCACATAAATGTACAGTTTTAAAAGATAAGCATGATGTATGCCTGTCATCCTAACAGCTCAGGAGGCTGAGGCAGGAGGATGGCAGGTTGGAGGCCAACCTCAGCAACTTAGCGAGACCCTGTCTCAAAAAATAAAAAGAGTGTGAGGGTGTGGCTCAGTGGTAGTGCACCCCTAGGTTCTCTCTCTCTCTCTCTCTCTCTCTCGCTCTCTCTCACACACACACACACACACACACACACACGGTGTTAGATCATACACATACCATTCTGCAGTCTGCCCCCAACCGTACCCCAGACAATGGTTCTGGGCATGCCCATAGACATGGTGGACATGAGATCCACCTCCTTCTGCAGACAGGAATGTCTGTGCCTGCTGTCCTCCGGCTGGAGCAAGATACCCCTAGCTGGTGCCTTCTTCTTTTTTTCTTTATCCTTTTTTAAATTTAATTTTTATATTTATATATGACAGCAGAATGCATGACAATCCTTATTACACATATAGAGCACAATTTTTCATATCTCTGGTTGTACACATAATATATTCACACCAATTCGTGTCTTCACACATGTACTTTGGATAATGATGTCCATCACATTCCAACATCATTTCTAACCCCATGCTCCCTCCCTTCCCCTCCCACCCCTCTGCACTATCTAGAGTTCATCTATTCCTCCCTACCCCACTATGAGTCAGCCTCCTAATATCAGAGAAGACATTTAGCATTTGTTTTTTGGGATTGGCTAACTTCACTTAGCATCATCTTCTCCAACTCCATCCATTTACCTGCAAATGCCATGATTTTGTTCTCTTTGATTGCTGAGTAATATTCCATTGTGTATATATGCCCTATATTTTTTGTATCCATTCATCTGTTAAAGGACATCTAGGTTGGTTCCACAGTTTAGCTATTGTGAATTGTGCTGCTATAAACATTGATGTGGCTGTGTCTCTGTAGTATGATGCTTCTAAGTCCTTTGGGTAGAGACCAAGGAGAGGGATAGCTAGGTCAAATGGTGGTTCCATTCCCAGATTTCCAAGGAATCTCCATACTGCTTTCCATATTGGCTGCACCAATTTGCAGTCTCCCCAGCAGTGTATGAGTGTGCCTTTTCCCCACATCCTCGCCAGCACTTACTGTTATTTGACTTCATAATAGCTGCCATTCTGACTGGAGTGAGATGAAATCTTAGAGTAGTTTTGATTTTTATTTCTCTTATTGCTAGAGATGTTGAGCATTTTTTCATGTATTTGTTGATTGATTGTATATCCTCTTCTGAGAAGTGTCTGTTCAGGTCCTTGGCTATTTATTGAGTGGATTATTTGTTTTTTTTGGTGCTTAGGTTGTTGAGTTCTGTATAGACCCTAGAGATTAGTGCTCTGTCTGATGTGTGAGGGGTAAAGATTTGCTCCCAGGATGTAGGCTCTCTATTCACCTCACAGATTGTTTCTTTTGCTGAGAAGAAACTTTTTAGTTTGAGTCCATCCCATTTATTGATTCTTGATTTTAATCATTGTGCTTTAGGAGTCTTATTCAGGAAGTTGGGGCCTAATCCCACGTGATGGCGATTAGGGCCTACTTTTTCTTCTATTAGACACAGGGTCTCTGGTTTTATTCCTAGGTCCTTGATCCACTTTGAGTTCTGTGCATGGTGGGAGACAGGGGTTTAGTTTCATTTTGTTGCACATGAGATGTCCAGTTCTCCCAGCACCATGTGTTGGAGAGGTAGCCAGTGTCTTCTGTTGGGCCCAGGCTGTTTGTGTGCTCTTCTGCTTTCACAAGCTGGGCTTCCAGAACTTTCCTGCTCACTTGTGCACGTGGGCAGAGAAACCCTGGGAAGAACCTGGTCATCCAGGAAAGGGAAGGTCTTAAGACCCCCGTAGCTGAGCCCCATTCTCCACGTCCTCCCATTGTGTCCTCTGCAGCAGCTGCCATCGGTGTCCGTGTCCCTCGCCTGCCCGCCCCGGGTGTGTGTGGGGTTAAGATCTCGCAGTCCCTGGTTTAATGGTGAAGTGGCCGCAGGGTCGCCACACGCCTTCCTGTCCCCCTGAGTGCGTTAACACCGCCTGTTTGCTTGTGTCTCCAGCAGAAGGAAGGACAGAGTCTGAACGGACGGACTTCCCCAAGGACCCTCTGGAAGCCTGAGGTCCCCCAGAAGAAGTGCAGGCAGCCGGCAGGCCAGGACAGCGCTGACCAGGTCGCCAGCCGCTGTCGGGGTGGCGGCTCCCCCGGGGCTCCAGGCTCCCCTGAGGCCACCCTGGAGGACGAGGGCAGCTTCCAGAAGGTGTGGGCCACTGTGTTCGAGCACCACGTGGAGCGACACTTGGTGGCTGACCTGTCGGGACACCGCCTCTCGGCCACAATCCCTCATAATGGGGCAGAGCCCCCTGTCCCAGAGCCCAGACCCAGGCCCGAGAAGGGCCCTTGGTCGGCAGTGACGGTCCCCAGGAAGGAGAACCCCAGGAACCCCGAGAGCGCTGAGCCACGGAGGCTGGGACGAGGCTCCCTGGCCGATGGGGAGCCAAGACCGGGCCACACGCCCGTCCTGGAAAAATACCCTTTTGGTGACAAACGCACTAACAGCCCTGTCCCAAGGCCCTCGGAAAACCCCCCGGCGTGGCCGATGGTGGAGCCCAGGTACGACGTGATGCTCGCCGTCGGGGAACGCGCCCACAGCGAGGCTGTCCCCCTCGTGCCTGAGGCCAAGGCTGTCACGTTGCGAAGCAGCCGGACCCGGCCCTTGCTCAAGGACCGGCAGCTGTCCCAGGAGGCCACCTCCGCTGACTCGGAGCGCAGCCCACATGGTCCCCAGGGGTGTGTCCAGAGGGCCAGTCTGATGTGGGAAGCTCAGGGGCAGGAGGCCAGCGGGAGGCCTGTCTGTCGGGAGCCAAAGGACATGCCCGGAGGCAGCTGCCCGTCACCCAGATGGACAGGTGGGACGGTGGTAAATCTGCATAGAACCACCGTGGGGGTCAGCCAAGTGCCCTGTGCTCCTGAGGCCACTTCTTCCAGAACTGTCCAGGCTTCGGTCCAGGAGGCCCAACCCCGGGGCCCTGGGGGGGTCAGTGTGTCGGTGGCAGGAGAGGGTCCCTCCCAGGGGGACCTCCGGGGTCCTCCGGCCAGGACCAAGGACAAGCCCTTGAGCTCCCCGGCACAGGCATGCCCAGAGATGCAGCCTGTGCAGAAGGGGCCTCATGTGGCTGCCAGCGCTGGTGACCCAGGGCTGGCCCAGGTCCCCGAAGCCAAGGTGTGGAAAACCAGTCCCACTACCCGGAGGGTGGACCGGTGGAGGCGGCGGACTTTACCCCACTATGTGAAATTTGATGACTTCAGCTTCCTGGGCCCAGAGACCACTGCGAGAGCCGAGCAGAGGCGAGCCGATTCCCTGGGCCCCACGGCCGGTGCCTTCCAGAACCCCCCCACCCCACCCGCCCGGGAGACCCAGGAGGAGGCCCCAGGGCCCTCAAGGACCTCCCCAGCAGCGAAGCCAGCGTCATCTGTGGAGCCCAGGGTGACGTTTTTTGCAGTAACATATCAGATTCCTGATATTCAAAAGACAAAAAGTGTCGTTAAGCTCGGGCCTGAGAACTCACAGGAACATTCTAGAAAAACGGCCCCACCTCCCTCATCCCACTCTCTCACATCTGCTTTGGTTTCTCCCAACCACGGGGAGCCACAGGCGACTGCGGGCAGGAGAAGCTGGGCTCAGGGACCAGAGTGTGTCAAGGGAACCGACGTCTCCAGAGCCCCGAAGCCCACAGACCGCCCTTCGCCCCCCGGGGACGGGATTCTGGACCCTTCCCGCGAGAGGATCATTGACGTGGACGCTTTATCGACTCCTCGGGGGTCAGAAGATGGCGGGGGTCTTCAGAGCAGCTGGAAGGACTGTGGAAATAAGGTGTCCCAAACTACCCCGGCCCTGCGGAGTCGGCCAAAAGCCAGCAGCCTGCTGGTCAGAAGGAAGACCGAGGTGGTCAGCGAGACGTACCCAGGGAAAATGAGGGACGGCTACAGACCTGGCGTCCTCGACATCGACGCCCTGATGGCCCAGTACCAGGAGCACGCGGAGCCCACCAGCTCGCCCCTCGAGAGGCCCGGCCGGCTGGGGAGGCAGGAGCTGGGCAGCGGGAGTCCCCAGGAGGCTGCAGGTGTCTGGAAGCGAGCCAGCCTGGCCGAACCCCTTCGCACGTCCAGCCCCAGCTCCCCCTGGCCGCCAGCAGAGACCCCAGGGCCAGCCCCGGCCACCAAGCCTAGCTCCCCTCTGTGGGCTCGGCCACTCTCCACTCCCACCGAGCAATGTCCTGTGGCCTCTCGTGTCCCTGATGGTCCCAGGCACAGAGTCTTGGGGGTCACCGAGAATGAAAGCAGAGCCTCCGTCAGCCAGCTCAGGGCCAAGGGTCAGCAGTACCCTGCCGAGCGCAGGCCCCCTGCCCCCGAGGACCCGGCCAGTGGGGTGAGGGTATCACCCAGATCACCCGCCGATGACCACAAGAAAAGGACTCCAAGGAAATCCACTGGGGAGGGCGAGGAGGCCCCGGGGGGCGGCTCCCCACACCCCTGTGGAAGGTTGGTGCCGGACGTCAAGAGGTCCTGCTCCGAGAAGGGCCCCCGTGCCAGGACCCAGGAGGGTCTGTCCATCATGCAGGAAGCCAGAGAGAGGAGGCCAGAGCTACCCAGAGGGAGGCTCAGCCTCCCCGCGGAGAGTTCAGAAGCCAAAGCAGGACCGCGGAGGTGGGAGCCCAGGACTCAGGACAGCCACCAGGTGAGTCAAAGGCTCTCTTGGTTTTTTTTTTTTCAAACCGTGATTAAGCCTCCAGGTCTCGGGCATCAAACTCAGGTCTTATGTGAGTCACACAAGTGCATTAAGGAGTGGAGTCAGGCGAGTGTGAGCTCCAGGGAGCGGCGGGGAGGTGGCAAACAGAGTCTCATGCCTGCTCAGGAGGGGCCACCGCTGTTTGGTTCTGGCTGGTTCTTGACTCATGGGAATGGCAGGCCTAAGAGGACAGGCCTCATCTTTTAAGAGAATGTGAAAATCCAAACGTGTGTCTAATCCACCCCCCCACCCCCCCCACCCCCCGTTAGGAAAGGAGGGCGATTTATGTTAAAACTCAGTTGTCTGCTGCTTCCCTCAGCCCCTTCAGGCCGCTGGCTAGAAGGATGGTAATGAAGCATCGGTGCAAGCCTTAACGGAGCACCTGCTGTATATGGTGTGCTGTGCTCTTTGTCATATCGGCAGTACACAGCCTCATGCTCACACCTTGTGAACATTGAAGCAATGCTGTGGACTGCGTGTACCTGCCGCAGTCTGGCTGGGCACAAAATCACGAGCCACTTAAGCAGGAACAAACTTTATTTTTGAAACTGCCGCCAATGCCCCCTACGCTCCCGGGAAGATTGCCGACCAACGCACGCGGCTTCTCCCGGATCCCAAGAGGAAGTCCCTCCTCCGGAATTCCCTCCTACTGCACTTCCCCAACCAGTGGGAACTCTCCAGGAGTCCCTTAGCAGGCCCAGGTGAACAGCAGGAGTCCAATATCCATATGAATGCAGATCTTAACATAATCATATCATCTCAATGGCTAGCTGGCGTCACCTTTCAACCAAAAATGCCATGCATCATATTACTTGGCTGTGGCTCTTAGCATGTACCAGCCCCCTGTCCTGCAGCACTGTGCTCAGTGCTGGAGGGGCCACCTGCCACCGGCACATACTTGAGTGTCAGGCAGGGATCTGACAATGTCCATAGGGTGTGGTGGTCTTCCCCAACAGATGGAAGACGTTGAGGCTCTGAGAGGTTCAGTAACTTGTCCCAGGTCACACAGCAGTAAGTGACAAAGCTGGTGTCTGAGCCCAGGTCTGGCCTGGTTTTTACCTAATGCTCACGGGCCACTTTCTAACTGGCCATGTCGGGGCCCAGTGAGCCACAGAGCTGTCTGGGAGCTTCTGAGCTCTGTGGGAGATGGACACGCGACCCAAGTCCAGGAAGTGACACGGTACAGAAGCAGGCTCTAGGAAAGAGAGCCAGGAGAGCCTGTGGAGGGGGCCTGGCTTGGCCTGACCTTCAGGGGCAAGGGACTTGGGTGGCCAGAGGGGGGGTCGTGGGGCTCTCGGCAGGGGTCTGGAGGTGGGGAAAACCGGGGGGTGTTCTGGCGATGGCACCCTCCTGGGGGACCAGGCTCTGGCGATCCAGCTCCAGATCCCATCCCTGCCGCTGGCAGATGGTCCTGGGCTATTTTGCATGCTGAGGCCACCATGCCTGGGTGCCCCCACAAGACCAGAGCAGGCTCGGCCACCTGCCAGGCCCAGCTCCCGGCACCGGCTCTGGGGGCACCTGATCTTGGCACGAACCGTACTCGAGCTTGCTCCCTCCTCTGGGAAGATGGTGGGGTCCGCCCGGCAGGGACTCTGGGGAGGAGGAGCTGGGATCAAGGTGAGCAGGGATGCCACCTGTCCCCCGCCTGGGGCTGTGACTGCGGGAAGCCGTGTGAAGGGGGCACTTGAGCCTCCACAGCAGCCTGAGCACGGGACCTGGTGAGGGTGGCCTCTGGAAATGGCCTGGTGAGGGAGGCTGTGGAGGGTCTGCGGAGCCCACGGCCCGGGCTGCTGTAGGGGATGCGCTTTCTCACCACAGGCCCTGGAAGCCGGGGACCTGCTCCCTGGCGCTCTCTTCTCTCCCACCCAAAGATCTCTGTTTTTTATCTAAAAAAAAAAAAAAAAAAAACAGAAAAACCGAAACCCAAACAAAAACCAAAAGCCAATTCAAAAGTACAAAATGTTGACTGTTACAGATTCAGCCCTTGCAGGTGTATAAAAAATAAAAGGTGAGCGCCAGTTGGGGAGGTGCATGCCTGGAGCCCCCGCTACGCAGGGAGGCTGAGGCAGGAGGATCACCAATTCAAGGCCGGCCTCGGCAACTTGGGCTGGAGCTGGGGCTCTGTGGCAGGGTGCGTGACTGGCCTGCGGAGGCCCTGGGCTCCACCCCAGCACCACAGCAGACAGACAGACAGACGTGGAGCTTCCCCAGGTTTTTATGTCCTTTGGGACAGTCTTATGTTCCATAGTCGTTTATCGATCACACATATCTGGCATTATTTCTCTTATTGCAGAGGTAGGGCCTGCTTGGGCAACGTTTAAAATTTAGAATATTATAGAACATACGCGTTAGAAAGGAATCTGCCCCCAGAGAAAGAAACCGGGGCCCTTCCAGACATGTCAGTGGTTCTCGCCGCCAACGATGTGTCCCTAGGACAGCTTTGCTCATGGCCGGGCGCTCTTCTGCTCGCCCAGCTGGGGAAGAGCTAGCCAGGGCATCTTACTGAGTAGGAGCCAAGGATGCTGCTCTGCAGCCCGTAAAGAAAGTGCCAGTCCCCGAGACCCGGGCCAGAGGCAGGGGCCTGGTGTAGACTCGAGTAGGGACATGGGTCGGACACGGGTTGAGCACTTTATCTGGGAACATGACAGCATCCTACAGAAAGATCTTGCAACTTGATTATTTTTTAGGGGGGGCAGCAGGTACCGGGGACTGAACTCAGGGACACTTGACCGCTGAGCCCCACCCCAGCCCTGTTTTGCATTTTATTTAGAGATAGGGTCTCCCTGAGTTACTTAGGACCTTCCTTTAGCTGAGGCTGGCTTTGAACTCGGGATCCTCCTGCCTCAGCCTTCTGAGCCGCGGGGATGACAGGTCACCACGCCTGGCCATCCTTGTTCTTTCCGATGGCCTGTGGATGTAGCACAGTTTATGTGACCTTCCCAGGTGGACGATATTTCTGACAATTTGATGTTGCAAACAGATGTGGCCCCCACTTACGATGGCTCAACTTAATGATTTTCAGCTTCATTGTGGTGGGAAGGGTGGGAGCCCTGGCCTCCTCGTGGTGCCGGCAGCAACAGGGCAGGCATTTCGATGCGCATTTGCAGCTTAGCGTGGGTTGGTCAGGACGAAACCCTGCCACGAGCCAGGCCCATCTGTACGTGCAGACTTCTGCACACCTGCGGGTCTCTGTGGCTGCAGGATGGCCATCACCTGTTGAAGTGTGGAGCTGGTGGTCTCTGCAGGACCCTGCTGGCCGCGCCACAGCACGGCTGCACCTGTCTGCACGTTCAGCAGCGCCTGCTCCAGGGCCCGCTCCCCTCATCTTGACCCAGCGTGTCAGCCTTCTGAGTTTCACCCCCCACCAGTGCCCTCACCTCTCATTGTGGCTTGGTGAGCTTCCTCCTGAGTGAGGAGGCGTTTGTCCAGTGCGGGAGGTCATCTGCACTTCCTTCTGTAGCCTGCCTGTTTATATTCCACCTGCATTTCTTCGGGGCTGTGGCCCTCTTATTGATTTCTGAGAGCTCTTTATTAAGGAATGAACCCTTTGCCCTTGTGGGTTTTGATTTCTCCCTGGAAGCAGCCCTGGACTGCATACTGGGCAGATCTGGGATAAACTCTAGCCTGGGTGGCTCTGGGCCCCTCCCTGGAGTTCTCTGAGCCTCCATTTCCTCATCTCTGGGTGGAGCGGCTGCCTACCTCACGAGCTCCCTGGAGATTTATTATGGTATAATGCAGGGCCAAGCCTCTGACCGTTCTGTCCTAGTATGGAAGAAGCAGGAGGAAGTCAGGGGGAAGCTACCTGGGGTCACCCCTGACCTCATTTAATATGTGTAATAAATGTACTAGGCTGTGTCCTAGGTGTCCTGGCTCTGGTCTTGCCGGAAGCCACTGGATGTGGACCTGCCTACCCCCCCAGGTTATTTAAGTTATTTAAGATGAAATACGAGGATTCATTCAGCTCTTGCACCCCCCTGGCCACATCCAAGCACTTAGAAGTCACATGTGGCTCACGTCAACCAGGTGGGACCCACAGACACAGACGTCTCCCTCCCTGTGGATCACTCGGGTGGACAGCGGGGTCTGGAAAGGGCAGGCATCTGGTCATCTGGGGAGCAGAAAGCTGGGCAGATAGGGACATAGGCAGAAGGACCTGAGAGGAGCCCTGGGCTGACAGAGGGCTCCCTCCAGGCCAGGATTGGGGTCGGCCGGAGCTGGAGTGAAGGTGCCCAGCCGGGGGAGGAGCTTGTCCCGTGGACACTTGAGGGACCTCAGCGGGCAGGGGTTGGGGGCCCAGCTGAGATGGAGAGGTGGGCAAGGCCTGAGCAGGAGACCTGGCTGAGGTCACTGAAGGACTGTCACCCTCATGTCTTAGAGACACGCCTCCCCACTGGCTCTCTGTGAGTGTGGACTGAGGGCCGAGGTGGAGGCCGGGAGGCCGGCATGGTCCTCGAGGAGGGGTTTGCCTCCCTTCTGTTGCTCCAGAGCAGCTTCGTCACCCCCAGAAGGTCCAGAACCCACCAGGCTGTGGCTCGATTCTTCCTCTCCCCAAGTCCTGGGCCACCGCGTCTGGAGAGCCCGTTCTACACGTGTCCCCCGACTGAATGCACGCGGCCCCCACTCTGCTTCCTCTGCAGGTTTTGCGGGTTCATCTGCGTGGCCGTGTGCATCGAGCCTCGCCTCTTTCCTGAGTGCATAGTACTCCCTGTGTGACTAGCCCACATTTTCCATTATCTGTTCCTGGGCCGACAGCCTTTCGGGTTGTGTGCACTTTGGGCTGTTAAGAATGATGCTGCTGTGACATCTGCGTGTGCATCTTTGAGTGGATATGTGTGTTTATTTGGGTGTGTACCTAGGAGTGGGCCAGACGGCCACTCCGGGCTTCACTTTTGAGAACTCGCCACCCTTTCTCCCAAAGCAGCCGGGCCATTTTATGTTCCCTGTAGCAGAGTCTTCACGTCCTCTCCACCTGTTTTTGGTGACCTATCTTAGTGGGTGGGGTGTAAAGTGGGATTTCATTGGAGTTTCAACTAGGATTTTCCTCAGGATTCATGGAATTGGGCATCCTTTCGTGTGCCCCCTGGCCATTTGTATGCATTGTATGTATGCATTGTATGTGCCCCTTGGCCATTTGTATGCCTCTGCCTATTCAGATGCTTTCCTTATTTTAAAATTGGGTTGTTTGTTTATTATTGAATTGCCATTGCTCTTTATATATTCTGGATACAAGTCAATAGGTGTGGAAATTTCCTCCCATCTTGTGGGTTGCTTCTCCACTCTTAATGGTGTCCTTGGAGGCACAAACATTTTTCATTTGGATGGAGTCCACTTTATCTGTCTTTTGTTGCTTGTGCTTTCAGTGACATCCCTAAGAAGCCATTGCCAAGTCCAAGGTCATGACGAGCTCTCCTAAGGGTTTTCTTCGAAGGGTTTGCTAGTTTTTGCCCCTACATTTAGGTCTTTAGCTGAGTTGACTCTGGTACAGGATGTGAGGCTTGCAGGTGTCCTGCAGGAGGGCCTCTGCTTCGTTGGGGGTGCAGGGGTGTGATGCGGAGGCAGCCCAAGGGTCTGGGCCTGCCTGGCTGGGATGAGGACTGAGTCTGGAGAGGAGGAAGGGAGAGGCCTGTCCTGGGCTCATGGTGCAGGTCAGAGGCAGCAGTCGGGTCTGTCTGCTGGAGCCCAGCCTGAGAGCTCTGGGGGTGGCCAGGTGTAGATGGGGTTTATTAAGGCCTCAGGGGCATGAAGGGAGATGGCAGAGAGGGTGGCTTAGGAGGCTGGGTGGCTGGCTCAGGGTGGGCAGGGAGGTGGAGAGGGAGCAGCGGGGGAGAGGGGGTGTCCCATAGGCTGTGAGGAAGGGCCAGGGCATCCTGCCTCTCTTCCTGCCGCTGTGTGTTCTTAAGCAGGCCCCTCCCCTCTCTGGGCCTCCCTTCCCTGTGTACACAGGGGTGAGGCTTGTAAAATACAGATTGTGGAGTCCTGTGTTTAGGAGCCGGACTGCGTCCCTCTGTGTAACCAAGTGGAAAACACGGCCCAGTGCGGAGGAGAGGAGCCAGGGCGCCGTCCCACTCTGGCATGGCCTCTGTATCTGGGCGTGAGTGAGGACGCACCAAGCATCCCCGCAGGCGGTATGAGGCTGGCTGACATTCGGGGCCTCCTACAGGCCCGATGGCTGGGCCCAGGCCTCGTGCACGCCTGCCACCTGGCGGCTGTACTGCGTCCTGCACGCGGCTTCTTGTTTTTCTCATCTACCCTAGAAGCTGGCTACTGTTATTATCTGTTTCCTGGACAGTTGAGGCTCAGAGAGGGTAAGGCACTCACCCAAGGTCACACAGGGGGCTAAGGCAGGACCAGTTGGACTTAGGCTGGCTGCTGCCACAGCTTATCTCCAACCATTAGGGTTGGGGGATCTCTGGTGTTCAACACTCTTCCTTGCCCCAATGGACCCCCCTGGCATGACAGTTTCCCTGTAAATGGCACAGCCCCCCTGTAACGTCCTTCCCTTGCGTTCTTTGTCTCAGGTGCCATCGCGGGGCCTGGAGCCGGGGGATGCCCTTCAGGATAATGAACAGCCACATCGACAGGGATCCCCTGTGGCCTCGGGACCTCAGAGAAGTCACAGCTTTTGCAAGGACAAGAGGAATGGGCCTTTGGTGGTGAGTGACCGCGGCGGCATGGCTGGAGAGGAGCCCAGGCTCCCCGGGAACCTGCCCCCGAGGCTCGGGCTGTGGGCGGGCGGGGGAGCGCAGGCTGCTGTCTGGGAATCGAGGTTGTCGCTGAGGAGATTGTCTGCGGGCTCTGTGGGGAGGGCCTGGGCCCCCTCGGGTTTCCGCGCCCTGTGCAGAAGGAGCCCAGCTTGGTGCGCCCTGGGTGGGGGGTTCCGGGGCCAAAAGTCGAACCCCCCACCCAGGTTCGAACCCCGCGCCCTAACCCTAACCCTAACCCTAACCCTAAACCCTAAACCCTAAACCCTAACCCTAACCCGAACCCGAACCCGAACCCGAACCCGAACCCGAACCCGAACCCCCGCGCTGGCTCCTGCCTCTGATTTTGAGAACTTGGGCCGGTTTCTGTGCACTGGGGTGTCTGCAGCTGGAAGACGGGAGCCTGCTGCTTTACCCCCCGGGTGAGGAGGGCGTCGGGTCACGCCCCGGGCCCAGCGCCCAGCAAGGCGCCCTCAGTAGTGACAGTCGGGCTCACAGCAGGGCGCGGGCGGCTGCGCATGCGCGCGGAGGCTGGACGGCCGCGCTTTCCCCGCTGGGCGCCGGGGGCCTGGGCTCCACGGGGCGGTGGGGCGGGAGGACGCAGTGCGGGAGGGACAGGCCGTGCGGGTGTGAGCCTCCGCGGGCTTGCGCTGCCCTGTCCCTGGGGCGGTTGTCCCCGCGCTCGCTGGTGGACAGAACTGGGCAGAAGGAGCCGTCCCCGGGGAAGTCGCCTCCTCCGGGAGTCTCCGCGGCCCCGGGCCAGGGCAGGCGCCACCTCCGGGATTTCCCGATGGTCTTTTCAGTGCCGTGACACCTGGGGACCTGTCGCGTTCTTGCTTGCTCCTGGCCTCGGCGGGGTCACGGGCTCCGCGGGGGGGGGGGGGGGGGGGGGGGGCTAGGGCAGGAGGGGACTCCAGCAGCAGGTGCTCCTTCGTGAGATCCAGGCTGGGCCCGTGGCCGGGGACGCAGCCGCACCTGAACCCCAGGCCACGTCTCCCGGCTCCAGGCTCCAGGCCAACGGCGGGAGCCTCTCTTCCCTGAGCCTCCACGCGCTCCTCTGTGAAGTGGGGCGAGGAGGCCATGGCGGGGCTCCTGCTAGGGCCTGGTGTAGTGGCCGCGACCAAGTGGAGGGCTGTCATTGTAGGGCTGGGGGGGCCGGGGAGGCCCTGGACTCCAGGAGGCGGCTGCTGAGCAGCCCCAGAAGCTTCCGCAAGGTCCTGATCCCAGATGCGTGCACTGCACACAGCCTGGTTTGGTGCTAGACATTCTCTTCCATGTTCTTTCTGACCCTTGTGGCCAGCCCCTCCCAGGGGTCCTGCCTGGGCTTCTGTGACTGCACTTGAACTGTGGTGTGTAGGCGAAGTCGAAGGTGATGGGGAGAAAAGCATTTTAAACCTGTCTTTTTATAGTTCTCCTCGTGCTAGAGTCCTCCCTGGCCACTGGCTCCTCCTCTTTCACCCTGTCAAGGACCAGGGATCAGCCTTTGTTCTTGGCATCCTCGGTCAGCGGCAGCTTGCCTTGGCTCCCTCCTTTTGGGCTCTGAGGCCCTTGCTGCGTCACCCTGCCTGAATCGCTGTCCTCTGGAGGGGGATGGGCGGGACTCAGCCCTCTTGGTAGCACCTGACCTTAGATCCCTTAGGTACTCTCAGGACTTGTGCCTGCAATCACAGGGAGAGGCCACCAGCGCCCAGCAGTGGTCCCACCTGGGAGGGACACCCTGGGGCCCTGGAGGCTGAGAGAAGGGGGTTCCCATTCCAGCCCTGCCACTGTGTGACCTAGGGGACATGGCTGGGTGAGGCTCCCCAAGGCTGGCTTTCCTTCTCTGAGATGAAGATGGCCCTCTCTGGCCTCAGGAGTATTCTTGTGCGTCGTTGCAGAGGTTACCCAGCACATAGTAGGTTCTCAGTTAACGCTTCATCTGCAGGGGCCGTGTGCCCTGCTTCCTCCCTCCCCAACTTCCTCTCCAGAAAGAGCTCCCGTGTTGGCCAGGGGGACCCTCCAGGTGAGGCCTGGGCCCTCACCCCTGCTGGCTGCCCCACTCCTCTGTGGTTGGTGCCCCTTTCCTCAACCAGAGGGGACCCTGATGGTGCTGTCCACTATGCCACCATTGGCTGACCAGCGGCCATGCTGCTGCTTTCCAGCTTGGGTTCGGTTCGTCGCCTTCATTTTCTGAGCCTGCGGGTCGGTCCTTGTCACTTCCACTCCATGCTCACTTAAAGAGCATGAATCCCATCCTGAGAGGAGGAACGTGAGGCCCAGAGTGGTTAGGCCACTTACTCACAGACACAAAGCAGTCAGGGGAGCAGGAATGGAAAACGGGCCTGTGAGGCTCCCAGCTTGGACCTGGGCGCTTCCTGCCTTGGGACTGGCTTGGCCCCCTGCCAGCCCCTGCCACCGCCCCCCCCTTGGCCTGCAGGGCTTGTGCCTCAGCTGCTCCAGGAAAGCGGACACCCGCACACTCGGCCTCCTCAGGCTGGGAATGTGATATTCCTTGAGCTGGGGTTGGCCCCGCTGTTCTGCTGCCGCTTTCCAAAGGCTGCTGGGGACCTGCCAGGCTGGTGGCCTGAGGATCTGTACAGGCCCACCCGTCCCGGGCAGCCACAGGCTGTTCAGGGCCTGAGCAGAGGCCCTGCTGGCCTGGCCCTGCCCCTGCTGGAGCAGGGAGTTTCCCACAGGGGACACAACCAGGAATAGCAGGGCCGCCCCACGAGACAGTCCCCGCCCGCTTCAGCGGACGCTGTGGCCCAGAGCCAGTAGGGCCCTCTGGAGCCCTGGGTCTGGAGCCACTCTGGGCCCTGTTTGGTGCAGGTGGAGGCTGGAGCTGGGGGTCGCAGGGCAGGAAGCTGGGCACCGCCTCTGCTCTGGCTGCTGGCCCGTGTCTGCTGGTACCTGGGACTGAACTCAGAGCACCCGACACTGAGCCACGTCCCCAGCCCCATTTTGTACTTTATTTAGAGACAGGGTCTCACTGAGCTGCTCAACGCCTCGTTGTCACTGAGGTTGGCTTTGAACTCGCAATCCTCCTGCCTCAGCCTCCCGAGCCGCTGCCTTCTGCCTTATTCTCAATACTCAATTTCAGGCCTTTTACTTTGTTCTCTAGAAGAGTTGGTGGGAAGGGAAGGCGGCCCTCATCTTAGATGTTTTTCTGCCCTCAAAGAAACGCAGGCCTGGTGAATGCCTTGTCCAAGGTCCCGGGGCCGGGGACATAGCTGGACAAGGCCCCTTGTCCCACCCAAGTGCTGAGCCAGACCTCCACCCCCATCTGCCATTGGGCGCCTCTCCTCCCGGCCAGCGAGCTCTGCCCTGTATGATCTCGCAGGGGTCACAGGCACAGGGGCTCAGCTGTGGACCCCGACCTTGGTCGTGCTCCACCCAGAGACCCCACCGGTGACTGCAGAGGCACGTGTCCCCTGTGGGGCAGGGTGGGCCTCCGGTTGCCTCGAGACTTTGGTCGGCTGGCATCGGGGGCTGATGTGGCCCTGAGTTCATGCCTTTGTCGGACCTACTGTGCGCCAGGCCTGGGTGAGGGTGCTGGAGACTCTCCCTCAGCCTCCTGCCACTGACAGTCCAGGGGCCCTGAGATGCCTGGGGGTCCCCGGGATGAGGGAGAGGAGAGGACCACAGGTGGGGCTGCGCATGTGCAGATGTGGCGTCGGCCGGTGAGGGGGCGCAGAGAGCAGGTTGGATTGGCCTTGTGTGCAGGTGCGGGGCCAGGCCGTGGTTATGGTTATGAGTGGGACAGGTAAATGAGAAGGTGGGTAAGTGCTTGTCGGGGAGGGCCCCCCCGCACCATGGTCAAGGCTAAGGTCTGCCCCCTGGGGCAGGTCTGCGGTCGCGGACTGTGTTCGCTCGGAGGAGAGCAGGCGGCCTGACCAGTCAGAGGAGGCTGGCCTTGGTGAGCGGCGCTTGGGCCAAGGTTAGAGGCAGGAAGGAGAGTCCTGGATGGTGGGCGAGGCCCAGGGACCTTCTTCGACTCTGACTGGATGCGGAGTGACTGGGAGATGGGGGACCAGATTTGGATTCTGAGGATAACAGCAGTTCTTGTGTCATCAACTTAAGAAGAACTTGTCCCACGAGGGGACACATCCTTAGTCCCAGTGGGAGAGTCTTAAATTTCAGTTGGTTGACAGGGTATCCACATGGGAATGAAAAGATCAAAGTGAAAGGTTTCAGGAGAACTTCCAAACAGCTCATCAAAGATACTGATTGAATAAAGATTGTGTATTTTTATTTTTGCCTGGAATGTAGACCCTCAAGCACCGCTTCCCTCCCTCCCAATGTGACTCACTGGATGTATTTGCTTTCTTGCCTCACCCAGCAGGATGTCCAGAGTGGGCATCTGCTAGCTCCTCTCCACATTGCTGAGTCTCTCTTGGGCTTCCTTCATGCCTCCTGCCTCATGGTGCCAAGATGGCTGCCACTCTTCCAGGAACCAATTCCACTCTTAGGCAGGAAGAAGTGGGGGACCCCACTGAGTCTGCACGTTAGCCAGGGAAGCAGAGGAGATGGGTCGCTTATGTATCATGGGTAAGACCGGGTTACACGGTCCCACCTCACAGCAAGAAAGACTGGCAAAGTCAGGGTTCAAGTCTTCCAGCTTTGGGCATGAAGTTGGTCAAGGTGGAGTGGCCACCGGTCATTTCACAAGTAGCATTGTTCATCACACACAATGAAAGAGAATTGGGACCATCAGATCCTTGACAAGGAAGGACCAGGTCAGGGTGTGGGCCAAGAGAGAAAATTTGCCCGGCGTTGGCATGCTGGGGGGTGGGAGTGAGCTGAGCCCGGGCCGCAGGTGGGAAGGCTCAGTCCCTCAAGGCCCCCAGGCTGCGGGGGAGCAGAGGTCGAAGAAGTCAGGGGCCAAGGTGGAGGAGACAGGCAGGATGGGCCAGCGGGGAGCCCCGAGGGGCACCTGCCCATGGGAGAGGGCTGTGGGACTCATGGTGGCAGAG